TACATTCTGATGTGTCATATTCACAAATACACTGCAAGTGTCAATACAAAGAAAGAACAATACCTCTAGACCAGCGCTTTAGATATTCCGACGATGGTTCTACTGACAGACGGATCGAATGGACAATCAAAATCTGGCGTGAACAGTTGAAAGAAATCAGTTCCCTGCATGCTAGTTTTAGACCTAATTATCTCGGCATATCCAGCGATGCGTGATTGTGTGCAGGGTACATTCTTTATCTTAAGTGGATGTGGGCGGTGGCCGTCTGAGCCGACCCCTTTAATTTGATCAAATGATTTTCAACATTAACCAAGTCCTTTATCAGATGCCCCCTAGCTTCACCACAGAAGGAATCAATGTTCGTTCGTCAGATTTTGCGGGGGCGGTGAGTTAGGCTAGTGGTTGATGCGTTCGCATTTCAGCCCGAAATGTTCTATTCCTGATATGGGCTGAATGCACGAGGGATATTTCATTGTCCCTCAGTGGAATATCGCTGGAACATTTATCAAAACAATACAATGGCACACTCGTTCACTTGTGTCATGGTATTCTCTACACTCTGTATTGGAATGTAGGGTAGCCTAGTGGTTAAAGAATGTTCGTCACGCTGAAGGTCCAGGTTCGAGTCGCGGCATGGGTACAATCATTTCTGGGGTTGAGCATCATATTGTTGCAATCTTGCAATATTGCTAAAAGCGTTGTAAAACCATACACACTCCCTCACTCAAAAACTATTCTGGTCGGATGGTCAGGCTCAGCGAACTGTTTGTCCATCTGCAATGGACGTTGATCTTTCTATCCACCACTGGTTTTACTTTTCAAATACTTTCAGCCCAACGGTATTTTATCTGGAATTTTGCTAACAAAACCAGAAACCTTAACTAAATCAGATGATTGAAAATCTTGAATATGCAATCAACATATTATGGTCACCGTTTGATCTACAATCATATCATGTAACAGACTGGCCCTAGTTTCATAATAGGAATTATTATCCATATGGTGGAACATAATCAGTGTCATATATATCATATGTGCTCATGTGCACATATCATTTTTGCCTAGTAACCATTATTTCTGTACTTCGTCGTCTGTGACGTCATTAAACAATTGAATGTGACGTCATTGAAGAGGGCCGTCAGACTTACAGTGTTTTACTGCACAAATGTACATGAATAACATGTATATTGGATAATAAAGAAATTATTACATTCGTGCATGTGTAACAATCTCTATTTATTATTATGTCAATTTCCCACAAGCGGAAATAGTTATATGTATCATGAGCTCATATTATTTCTAATGCCATATTTGAAAGCAGTCTTGTGGTGATATTGCTTACTCGTCATCCTGAGGACCAGGTTCGATTCCCCACATGGGTACAATGTGTGAAGCGCATTTCTGGTGTCCCTCGCCGTGATATTGATTTAATATTGCAATTGCATTGGACATAATTTTGTCACATACTTGTCACGTTCCTAAATGGGCTCCTTGTGTGACCATAAATCCGACATAGAAGTAGCATGTTGACACCAAAGCCTGCTTGAAATGTGTCCGACACGAAGGGAAAGCTGACTATTGAAAAACTGAAGTCATCCCTATTCTCAAACAGCCTTGTGGAGAGTTTTCATAACCCTGCACCCTTATGCATAGATCTAAGTATACAGAAGATTTTGCAATTGCATTGGTCCATTTCTTCTATTCTAGTTTAGGGTTCCGATCCACAAAACATTCGTAACGTTACGACCTATCGTAACTCTATAGTTTATCATAGGCTTAAGGATGTCGTAGCGGAGGGTGAAAAGCACTCTCCAGGTGAGGCCTGATTAGTGTACAGAGTTGTTCAATGGCTTGGCGAGTCATCCTGTACCTCGCAACTAACTCACGATCATCCAACAAATCTAAATACCTCGTCCGGTTTCTATAAACTCTCTCCCTGTCCACTCTCAGGTCTACATCATTCATCTAAACAATCAACGCCGCCATTAATTTGCGTATCTCAAGTTACGACAGCCTAGGTTGTTCCCCTGAAATTTAAGAATTCGTAAAGCTATGAACGGTTCGAGAATAGGGTCGTAGACGTTCGTAAGCGCTAAGAACGGTTTTAAGAATGGGGACCCTGGTGTTTACATCAGAGGAAGAAAATTGGCTATTTGACCATTTTTAACGATATCAGATAATAGACAAATTCACTCACGAAAACAAACAACACTGGATGAGTATTTAATGGGTTTAGAATGTACCATTAATGCAATTTTTTGTCTAAGTTGGATATTACAGAGTTAATAATAGTCACCTGTAGTGCGTAAGTGCAATTGATTGTATCTCTACTGAAGGTGAACCCGACATATAAATTCACGTCTAAAACAATGGAGTTGATCGGTCAGCTGTTGAAATATAGCTTTCGCAAAAGACTTTGCGTAGATACTGGCACTTTGAGTTAATCAAAAAGTATATTTATGGGCAAGGTTTTTTGTGCGTGGTATAATTTATCATTTCAGTAAGTGACATTTTTATCGTACAACTCTATATCATGCCAAGTTTGTTTGATGATTAAACATGAACACAACCATCTGGTCGGAACAGATCTGTTATGCTGCCTATGCATGGGATCGCTTACAATATTAAAGTCCAAACATCACCAGACATCGGTCCAATAATGAAATTATTTTATAAAGATTATGCTTTGATGCATTTGTGATTTGTTATCGTGTTAAACCACTGAAACAGTTAAATTGATCATCTGTTCCACAAAATGTCATATATACAACAAAACAAAACATGATGTAAGGGCATTCTAAAACACATTTTGAAATGTTTTGTCTGGCAACTTTCCAAACCACTGCTCCGCTGGTTTGATATTAATGTCGGACTGACCATTTAGAGTTATTTGGTTACGTAAAAAAATGAAAGATTGGAAACAGCGTTACAATAACAAATTTGAAGTTATTGTTATAGTGGGAAATGCATGTGTCAGTGTGTGTATGTACATATAAAATACCGTTACCTTGATATTGCCACGTCGATCGAGTATCATCGTGCTCTAGTTGAAGTTTGGACTTGAAGACGTTTCATTCCTTGTTTGAAAAGGCTGGTCACAACGTGTGCCTAGCGATCGGTGTATAAGAACAACGTCGTGTATTCACTAAATGTTGTGTACCCATAGCTGATGTTTTAACTATGACGCTAACAAATAGTGCAATAGTGTGTGTGTGTGTGTGGGGAAGAGGTATCCCAAACACCACCATCAACACCAATAACTGTATCACTACCACCACCACCAGCAGCAATAGCATAATGACGACACAAACTACAGTCACCATTAGCCATCACCACCAAACCTATCTTCAAAACCACATCACAAAAGACATCACACCGACCATCAGTCGCCATCGAATTAGACCTCACCAACATCAACACCATTATCGCTACCATTAACACCACCATGACCACTTCTCCCTTTATGGTGGGGAGCTGAATGATTATTCAACCCCCTCACAAACCTCATTAACATTAATGTATTGTACATACGTTTACTACTTTGGTAACTATTTTCACAACTGAACATTCTTGGCTACATATATTCTACACTTGCGCCCAGCTTCACATATAAAAGGCAGAGTCCCCGATCAACTCTACCACAGTAGTAAAGAATTCCCCGTAGTCCATAAGTCTCAACGTAACGACTACAATAAAGGTCTTGGAGCGAGCTAGACAGTTGTAATGTGGACACCTTGCTTTGCCACATATACCATCGATCAAAGGGGTCCGACTAGTTACCCTTGGGTTATAAACTCCTGATCCATACCGTAAATAGACCACTAAAATGACGCACAATGCTATAATATCGGTTCGAAGTAATTATATATGGACTACACGCTCCATGCACACGTACATTGTATGTTACACAACCAGTTTCTCAACACATGCCTTTCATCAGTTATTACATTTTTTGGTTTGTTGTATTAGTGTAAAGTGTGTGTAGATACACAAGTATATGTTCGTCCTTATCAATGAGTTATTTTCATGTATGTGAGTACCCCATAATGGTTGGGAAATTTCACTGTACTGGTAGAAGACATGCTTTGTGAAATAGTACTATGCATTCAAAGCAAGCAGAAAATCATGACGTATTGTCGGTAAGCCTTGCACGTTTATATACATTGCCAACGTCGTGAAACATCATCATCGGTGACGCCTCCTTTGGGATTTTGTCCATATACAGAAATCCTCAATCATATCTTTATTTCAACAAAAGGAACAGCGCCCAAAAAGGAGGCGATACCTCCAACAGCGTCACTGTCGAACCCTTGATGGTATCATGCCTTTGCTAAATGGGTGGCCGTGTTCTGTCATATGGGTGTCACACGATGTTGGTAAAGGTAAAATTCATAATATACACATACCTGTCTCTTTAGGAAGTTTAAACAAAGGTTAGTTGATTGGTTGGTTGTTTAACGTCGCACTCAGGAGTATTTCAGCTATATGGCGGCGGTGTGTAAATACTCGGGTCTGGACCAGGCATATGTCAACCAAGTTAGCGAGCCTGACCTCCCGATCCCGTTAATCGCCTCTTACGATAAGCATGGGATACTGAAGACAAATTCTAACCCGGATTTTCACGGGTGTGAACAAAGGACCCAGTACTTGCTCGAGCACTTCGCGGATATCATTCCAAAAGTGTTGACCATCTCAGAAGTTACATTACATCTCATGTATCTTTGGTATTTGTGAACAAAAGTCAGTGAAAGATTTGTTTGACATTTGCACACCTCAAGCGTATTAATTCACATCGTGATTAGTCAGAACCAGCTTGATAAAACTTCACACATGTATATAGCCGTAGCCTAGTTGTTACAGTGTTCTATAGATCTTGGTTCGATGTTCCCCACTGTGCCCCGTCAGATGGCTTGAACATTGCGTTAAACAATATCCAGCTTGCATCACATGCACCATATCAGACCAGGACATGTAACAGTATTATATGACTACCAAAGAAACGTAGTTCCAAGGCATTTATTGGTACATTTACTGTTACTGCATGCCAGTTGTTTCAAAGTTTAACCAAAGATACCAGATCCTGCATTACCAGAGCCCCTGAAAAGGAAACGAAGGTATATACCATTATTCCATACCCCAGATAGACCTACACTCAAATGCTGATTAGAAAACATTTTGTCTGCATTAATATGTAGCATCACAAAAATAGTCGAACACAACCTCAGTGCTACCCTAACAGTATTAGTTAGTGAGTTAGTTAGTTAGTTAGTTAGTTAGTTAGTTAGCTATGTTGCTTCAACCGTCATGATTTAACTCACGGTATCTCGCACAAGAACATCTGATTAGTTTCGCATGGGGCGTCGTTCCACATGAAGTTTTTAGATGTGAAGAGAGCCAAGCAATCCTCATACCCCGCGGAACTAGGCTCCCCCGGGACCCAGTTTGAGTAAGTAATAGGGTCACCAGACCTGGACCACATGAATCTGCCTTCAACCACGAGGTCACTTCCGCCGATCCAGACATCCAGTGTGTTTATTGAGGCTGTCACAAACAGGGATGCATATTAATGATCCTGTGTTCTTGTGTGAGTGAGTGAGTTTAGTTTTACACCGCACTCAGCAATATTCCAGCGATATGGTGGTGGTCTCTAAATAATCGAGTGATCAACAGCAACTGGGATACGATGACATGTGTCAACAAAGTCAGCAAACCTGACCTGACTATCCGATCCCGTTAGTCGCCTCTTACGACAAGCATGGGTTACAGAAGAACAATTCTAATCCGGATCTTAACTGTTCTTGTGTAAACTGTGACATGTTATAAGAAGGTATAATATACAGCCGGAGAAGACACATTACGCCTTAAAATGGAACTTTGGAGAATGCAGCCTTTTTTCCGGTAAAAGTGTCAGACTGGCAATAAATGGTTTTCAGTACGCAAGATGTTTAAACAATGAAATACACGACAGGCCAATTACGGGGATGAGTATGCATTGCTTCAACTAATATACTACTGCATTACCATGCTACCAATACTAATTTTTTGTGACATAGTACCGGGGCGGCGGGGTAGCCGAGTGGTTAAATCGCTCGCTCGTCACGGGTTCGATTCCCCACATGGGTATAATGTGTGAAGTCATTTCTGGTGTCCTTTGCCGTGATATTGTTGGGATATTGTTAAAAGCGGCGTAAAACCATACTCACTCACTGCTACGTAGTACATTGCCGTGTCCCCCGCCGTGATGTTGCTGGAATATTGCTAAAAGCGGCGTAACGCCAAACTCAGTCAGTCAGTCAGTACATTGCCTAATTTGCTTTGAACGCTACAGCGTTGACAGTACACAGCCATCTATGTGACGCTTTGTGGACACGACAAAAATGCACCACGAAAATGACACAAAATGACACAAACAAGGCGCCTTTTTGCAAGTTTGTCATGGAAAGGATGGAAAGGCACATAATCAGTCAGGTGACGCTCTGTACTCATCGAATACCCCAGGCCGAGCTTTCAGCATGGAATGACAAACATGTTCCACTGAATAAAAATAACTGAAACAATTATTATTTCTCCATTGCTTTCGCACACCCAAATGTTATTATGAGCAATTCCAGTAAGTACAATGAGTGTGTTCTTCGACCCTTTGTCAAACTGCACGTTTATTTTTCGACTTACATTTAAACGGTGTCAGGTAGGATTCCAAAAACTGTTGTTGCGATGGTGTGGAGATTTCGGCCAGTTTGGCGCCAAATGAATCGCAGAATATCTCAAAAAATAAAATCATATCATTACATGGATAATGTTACCTTGGGTTGCAAACGATAGCCTACAGATATGCTGAAACAGATTCATACATACATGTTCCATTTCTCTGTTTGCTGGCTTGCCCTGAAATATGTTGACGGTTATGTTATGGCTACCTGCTATGTGGTGACTACCAGCTTGGACTCTACGGGGAAAACTCTTGTATTTGTTGAGTCGCAAATATCATATCATATCCCGCCGTGATATTGCTGGAATATTGCTAAAAGCGGCGTAAAACTAAACTCAGTCAGTCAATATCATCAGTCATATCATATCATATCATATCATATCATATCATATCATATCATATCATGTGATGTGATAAAGCATTTGTGAAAGTAATAATTATAATCATTTTCATGATCTGTATCTGTTGGTTTGTGTGCGTCTCTGTGTTTATTCCAGACAACACCATAGTGTCATGTGATATGTACCACCGTGTAGCAATTACCATAATGTCAAATTCTTCCACTTCAATGTCATTTCTTGCTGAATGAAACAAATATGAATGTGACATGTTGACGTTTGATATGTGTACAAAATGAGTAAAAGGGACAACATTATATAATAAATTTAGACCTATTTTTACCAGTGTTAGATAATACAAAGGAAATCAAATTATGTATCGATCATTATAACCCAGCCTTTCGCCGTAATGCGGCCTTTCGTTTGAAAGTCAAAACATCGATCTTCATGTTTGTCTTGTTAAAAATGTCACTCATTTGCTAAAACATTAACGAAAACTTTCTCTTCGAGGTTCACACATAACTACTGTGTACTAAGGTAGTACAGTGTGGGATGAGCTTTAGGGAACAGCAGCATTTACCCCAGACGTGTACTGCTGGGCCTTGATTTTGGAAGCTCTATTATCGCTAATATAGTCGTAAGTTAATGTCAATGTATGGCACTCACGACTATCTTAGCGCGAAGAGAGCTTCGACAATCTAGGCCCAGATCATTGCACCGTAACTAGGAAAACGTAGATACATACATGATCACCATTTTTCTTTTGTAGTCTCACTGATATATATGACTGTACTCTGCTAGACAAACGTGTATTCGTTAATAATTCATGTCTTATATTATTATCAAAGGTCATCACAAAGAAACGTCATCTAACTCAATTGATTTAAAATTGGTGTCAATTTTGAAGTACTGCTCTTCCGCAATATAGTTCCTTGATTTGGGAATCATTAGTACAACTGACTTTAAATGGACCTTACATATCTACGACGCATATGTTTTGAAATAACAATTCATAATTTGTTCCTAATATAACGAGAGCTAGGAATCCACATAATTATGATTTTTCATGAAGCTGACCATCCACTACACTGAAAGGAATCTGGTAAAACTTAAATCAGCCTCAACACGGTAAGTATGTACATGTGATTTCCCATTGCTGCATGCATCTTATCGATGAAGTAAAGTAAAAACGTAATAGAAAATACATTTGATGAGGGTGAGGGGGGCATTGCCCCGTGTCACGGTTTCCAAGACACTTATATGCAGTGGCGTAATGGATGTTTTTCACTCTGTAGGCGCGAAAACCGATGGGGAGGTGTGGGCGTTTGAGGATTGATCCGGGATATATTACATCTGCTGTCGTCAACAGGTACGATACATGCTAGCTGTTCAATATTTTACGCAGCTGTTATACACTGTGTGGACAAGAACAGAGATAGAATCATGCCCACTGCCTCTATGGTCGTCATCTGAACAGGTTGTATGGCGGAAGTCCATTGGAAAATGTTTTGTTATTTTGGGTAATGTGTTTGTTATATATTTATTTTGTCAACAGCCAACTTCTTACAATAACATAAATAATATATTGAATAGATTTGTGTCTTTTGTGTTGTTTTATGTGTTATATTTCTTACATATCTTCGGGTTTTGTGATATTTTCGGGGTGTTCCTTCACGTTAGATACTGGTACAGATGCGTGAGTGAGGGAGTTTAGTTTTACGCAATATTCCAGCTATATGACGGCGGTCTGTAAATAATCGAGTCTGGATCAGACAATCCAGTGATCAACAGCATGGGCATCGATCTGCGCAATTGGGAACCAATGATATGTGTCAACCAAGCCAGCGAGCCTGACCACCCGATCCCGTTAGTCGCCTCTTACGACAAGCATGGGTTACTGAAGATCAATATTCTAAACCGGACCATCACGGGTCTACAGATGCGTGAGATATAGTTCGTGGAATGCACTTAAAACAAATGTTTTGTGTACTTTGTGCCTCTACTGAGTAATCCCGATCTACGTAGTGTTATTAGTCATAATGTCCACACACTGACATGGCGTTCGTAGTAAAATTACAATCGATTAGTGAAGCGTGAATCACAGGTATTAACGCGTGAATCACAGGTAGCAACTGAAAAGGATATTAGACAACAGCACTATCGTACAATCTACCGTGATAATATTTGATTTTGTTTCATCACTCAGTTGACAATAACATACCGTTGATACATGCATCACTTCACACAAAATAAGAAAGCATTTTTGTCTCAATCCGGATCTGTTGTCAAGTGTAAATGTTGAAACAATAGCACACAGACAGGTGCAATCACATTGGTACAACAGCAGGGTGAAAATGGGTGTGGGAGCTGGACATAAGCAGGACAAAAACCACCCGGACAAGTGCCGCCCGGACAAAAGCCACCTGGACAAATGCCACCTAGGACAAATGCCATCTAGGACAAATGCCACCGAGGACAAGAGCCACCTAGGACAAATGCCACCGAGGACAAAAGCCAACCAGTTATTTTACCATTACAGAGAGGAAAATTACCACCCTTAATGACTTAAATGAATTTTTAATGTAAATTTTACAAAGTGTTTAATTTAAAAAAGAATTTGTTTTTGTTTAAAAATGTTAACCTTGATAAAAATGGTGATTTTGTTGTAAAATTATGTAGACTTTGCTGAATAATTTGGTTTCTTTCAAAAAAATGTTCACTTTGATAAAAATGTTGATTTTGATGTAAAAAATGGGATTTCATAGTAATGTTGACTTTATAAAAACGTTAACGTAAATGGCTGTAAAATTTGATTTAAGAAATAATTTGACCTTGAATTTGGTTGAAACATATTTTATTTCGCCAAAGCCGAAACCTGGATAGGCGATCAAGCCTAGTAGCATATCTAAACGCCACGCCAGTACATTGTTCCAATAGATGGATCCATAAATTATATAATTTGACAACAAAAGAATAATACTGAGACAAAATAACAGATATATGGTTGTCTTAGATCCAGTGGATGTATATTGTTTCCGCATGAACGCACAATGAACGCAACAGTACACAGTCAACATCACTGAAAATAACACTATGACCCAAAGGTTGGGACAATACAGCACATTATATGAATTGGGCCAGTGTTCACCCACAACAGAACAATACATTAAGGTAAAGCATGTTAAGTACACAGAAATATTATCTTAATTTCAATTTAGCTTTATTTGGTGTCTACTTGAGATCACCTTCGGGAATGGAGCTCAGTAAAATTATTACGTTCTCAATTGTTGCGACAGCGCTATAGCAATTACGATTGCTCCAATACCTTTCTTGCGTGTGGAGCGTCCTACTCAGTTACTTTAATCGGTGGGAAATGTCTCTATATTTGTTGATGCTACGTTTTATTGCTATTGGCAGACTTACCATCGCCTCTGGCCAAGTTGTTGGTATCAGGAAGACTTTGTAGCACGAGTCGTCATGGCGGACAAAACCATTGGGACATGTAGCTGAAGCTAATATGATAAAAACATTTCTCATTTCAGACAAAACCAATGAAATAGAGGCGGTTCTTTTTATGATAAAGAAACGGGACAGAAAAATCATTGAACTAAATTACTTCTATTAAATTGACGGCCTATCTGTCTTGAATAAAACAGACAAAACCATCTTGAGAAAACATATCGATTATTTCAGTTTTAAATAGTGAAATGTCGTAACTGTTGAAAGGCGTGACGGGGTGATTTTACAAATACAGAATAGTTGTGGAATGGTCTTCGTTTGACGGTCGGTCCGTTTGTGGAAGATTGTGATAAAGATACTACGGAGGCAAAGATAACATTAAGTGACAGTTGTGTAACATCAGTGGTGATGGAATCATGGACAGAATGAGTCACTGAAGACGTGAAGAACATGCCCATTCTGAACAAAATCGTACAAAGAGGCCCTGTGGTAGACCTGTGTCTTGGCAGGGCGTTAGAAAATGTTGATTAGTGCTAATGTATGCAATATTCCTGCTATAACACAACGGCCAGTAAATAGTCGTGTCCTAGCATGGGAGAAAAGCCGGGGTGAAAGCCTGAAATGTGGTGAAACTCACGAGCACGGGAACGTTGCTGACGCCCCTAGAAACATGATCATGACGAACTGGGATTCGAACCCATGATCAGTGGATCCAGGCATGGCCAAGGGACACAACTGTTCACAGCAAATTGCTGTGTCACAAACGACTGGGCCACCCGTGACCCGTCCATACCACGTGTGATGCGACAAACATGAGCAGAAACACAACGGCACACATGGCAGAAATTTACCCCCGTCTCTCTAGATCTGTAATCCCCTAAAGATACAAACACACAGGGTCAGGCAAATGCACACGCACACCAGTAGAAACACACAGAAATCAATCGCTCACACAGCAAAACACATATCCAACACAAACATACACGAGCACATTCATAAACAAGCACTCACATACGCGTTTTGGAGATCCATTTGTCCAATGCATGTAATTCACCAAAAGATTACATTGACACACACATACATGCATACGACCAAAAGCTAACAATCAAGCATACGCATACACATAAGAACATAATACCCATTTGTCCCACTAAAACACCCAAGAAACACAAACACTCACTCACCTACTATTTATTGTTATTCCTCGTTAAAGTAACGTGCGCACACACTCACGTTGTGGTGATTTTCCCATAATCTCCTGGGTACAGATGAACAGAGACAGAGAGAGACAGAGAGAGACAGAGAGAGACACACACACACACAGAGACACACATAGAATCACATACAAACACACACATAATGTGAACGATCACGTCGGTAAAGACACACACAAACAAACATACGCACAGAGTTGAAAGGGATTAAGCAGTGTTGTTTTCATTGATCTGTTGAAAAATCTCAAGGCCACAGCCAATATATCATTTACTCGTTCCTGGAAACAATCACTTTTTTTCGAGTTTTTGCTGTCAATACCTGCAATGTATGTTGGCATGTTAATATTAAATAAATGTATTACCCACATGTAAAACGCTTTTGTAGGAACAAAGGGACAAAGAGAGCAAATGATAATATTCATATCGCATTAAAATACAGTCATTAAAAGATCAATCTGTAATTATACAGTCCATGTCTCACAGAGAGGAGGATCTCATTAGGAGTCTATTTTGGACAAGTTTTTTATCAGTCGTTACTCTAATTAGCGGAAACATGTCACTGAGCATAATATGCGATGGGAAAACTGTCGCGCAGACATTAATTATTCTTGAATAAACAATCACTACTTCAAGGCATAACGTTTAGGCGAGAATACCCGAATCTTCAAAAGTCCCTCTGGCGAGAATGCACCATAAAAACAGTCAGTGGCTCTGATTTGGTGTTGTGTTTACTTTGGGGTAGTTGTTTAAAGAACGATTGGTTTGTGAGTACAGGTGTGTAGAATGACACATTCGAAACGCAAAAGAGGTTTTCAGATAGATACTATATATATACTCTGAAAAGAATTTTTAATATACGATTTAAAAAAGGGGAGATATATCAATCAATGTGGATATGATAATAATGAATGTTTTTGAGAGTGCATCACCACTTGCACTTCCTTATGAGCGTAGTTGTGTATATAGTAATCGCTAATTGAAAGACGAATGGTGTATGACGTGAAATTTGCATGTATACGGTTTTAATTTTCAAACCAAAAAAATCTCGGCTAGAAATAAACACTAACAACTGTGTGGTGCAAGATAATTGTCAAAATTAATGGTCTACAGTGATTTATCGACCTTCTTGAAAACCGTCAAAATCAAGAATGACACCCTATGCACGTGTATGGGGCTAGTGCGTCGTGCATGTGCATCCCATGCGTTGTGTTTAGGGGTATTGATAAAGATAAATGGGGGTGCGTTCATAAGATATCTGTTTTGAAAAGTTTTTTAACGCTTGTATTTCCTATCCAAATTGAAAGTCCAGGTTCGCCTACATTTTTTTAGAGTATATTATAGAAATAACCATCACAGCATATTAAATTTGTAGACATTTGGCACAAGTCATTGTCATTGACTGAGGTCCATCATGGCACACATGAAACAATGAAACGTCAAGGTGACGGTCATCTGTTCTCAATATCTTGCATGGCCCTCATGAGAATCCAGAACTGAGTGGCATCGTCGCCCCATGAAACCAATAAGATAATGAATTGTGAGCTTGGGAATGTTCATCCTCTCTCATGCAGTTCTTGTTACAGTTTCTGTGGCTGTTGCTGTTGGTCGCAGACGTTGATCTAGAACATTCATTAATGTAGAACTGGACACAGTGAAGGCCATGGCAGTTCTTGATTCCTCTTTTGACCTGCTATGTGAGGTCGGACTTTGTCGGGTTGAAAAATTAACACTTGATTTTTGAGTAATTGGAAGAACGTGTAGCCGAAGAATGTAATCCGTGTAACAGTGTCCCATATTCTTGAAATGGTGCTATGAGATATGTGAAAAAACATGACTGGGGCCGAAGCTGTCTGTCTGCAGAACGTTGTTGCGTTGAGCTTCTGTCAGTCGTGGCATCTTTTCCGTTGCTGTACAATTGTGGTGACAGACGAATGAAAGCCCATCGTTTTCATAGCCGATGTTACACAATTCATGTCGCACGTTCATTTCCATGTTGGTGTGTTTGGTCCGACGCTCCCGCGTGGTTGGGTTTTGCGTATCCCTTGCTGTATCGGTATTTTTGGCACTATTTGTTCTACTCGCAAAAGGGCCACTCCCGATACTCCTACGTAGGAATACGTCTCCTTCGTAGTACTTAATATCTCTACGTAGGACATACTATCTCCTACGTGGACATAGTATCACCTATCTCCGTATCACCTACATTATTATCTCCTACGTAGGTATCTCCTACGTAGGACATAGTATCTCCTACGTAGGACTTAGTATCTCATACGTAGGACTTAATATATCCTTTTTAAGGTTCGGATTATGAAGTATGGTTATTAAGTTGAGAAATGTTTGGCTATGCAGGACGTTAGATAGTAGAAATGTGAGTCAGTAAATATTCATGACACTAACGCAGTGTTACTATACAGTGTTGTTATGTGTGCATTACGTTAGGGTGACGTGGACCCTGTTCTAATTGCAGTTATGGAGGTTTGGGTATGGTTATGTTTAATCTATCATACATACATCTATTCACACACACGCACGCGCACGCACACGCACGCACGCACGCACACACACAGGTGGGTGGGGTGGTTGGGGTGAGGTTCTGATATGAAACTCGGGTTATAACACGACCTCCGCAAGATGTTGCTTGTCTTCAGATGGGGCTAGGTTGGATCGTTTGCGGCTCGTTTTTCTCGTATTTGTTTACAGGTTGACTTCACTGTGGTGGAAAAGTGTTGCGTGCGGCGTAAAACAATACGAATTTCAAAAAGGCAAAGAATTGTCATTATAGTTATTTGTATAAATGAAAAGAGGATACGTACACATAGATTGCCACCGATAGTCTAAGACACGTCTGTACACGCAGATTATGATTCATGTCTCTGAATATCCAACGCATAATAGTAAAGTGTAACAAAGTGCAACATATTACAGTGAACTAACTGCAACGCGTAATAGTAGAGCAAACTGAACGCAAGACAGTAAAGTATAACAGTCGACCCAAAACAGTAATGTGCAACAATTATCTGAACACATGACTATAATAGTGAAGGAAATAGTAGACTCTAATAGTAAATGAAACACATGATAATAGACTCTAACAGTAAATGAAACACATAACTGTAGACTCTAATAGTGAATGAAACGAATGACTGTGGACTCTAACAGTGACTGAAACAGTGAAACAGGAGATTGTGTGCGTGTCTCGGGATTTAAGTCGACCGTTTCAGATTAATGTATATAAACGTATATCGATCATCTCCTACAGGAGATATTAAGCACTACGTAGGAGATACTATGTCCTACGTAGGAGATACTAAGTCCTACATAGGAGATAATAAGTCCTACGTAAGAGATAGTAAGTCCTACGTAGGAGATATTAAGTACTACGTAGGAGATATTAAGTACTACGTAGGAGATACTAGGTCCTACGTAGGAGATAGTAAGTCCTACGTAGGAGATAGTATGTCCTACGTAGACGATACTAAGTCCTACATAGGAGATATTAAGTACTACATAGGAGATAGTAAGTCCTACGTAGGAGATATTAAGTCCTACGTAGGAGATATTAAGTACTACGTAGGAAATACTAAGTCCTACGTAGGAGATATTAAGTCCCACAGGAGATATTAAGCACTACGTAGGAGATACTATGTCCTACGTAGGAGATACTAAGTCCTACATAGGAGATAATAAGTCCTACGTAGACGATACTAAGTCCTCCGTAGGAGATATTAAGTCCTACAGGAGATATTAAGTCCTACGTAGGAGATATTAAGTACTACGTAGGAAATACTAAGTCCTACGTAGGAGATATTAAGTACTACGTAGGAAATAGTAAGACCAAACACAAATTTCAACGTGGCCCACTACGCTTCCGTACTCCCGATGAATGCAGACATGTGAAATTCATATTTAGTGTGCATCAAATGTCATAAAAACTCCATTACATATTTCCAATTTTTCTTCTTTTGCGTTTTTTTCTTCTTCTTCTTGGCAGTGTATATTATAATTTAGGTTCCATCATCTATATTGTGTTACACTTATTAGTCACTTAATTTCGTGGCTTGTACAAACATCACGGTGTAACTTATATAAGGAATGTTAGAGCCATAGAAACTTCCATTTAGCTGAATCTCTGTCGGAAATTTTGTTTTATCAAACAAGAGGACTTATAATAATAACAACAACAGACAACGACTTTTCAAAACGAACACATCTTCATTTCACACTTGCACGGCATTAAGATACCACGTAGACTACATGAACTAATGGTATCACTTCCTTCCTTGAGCGTGAAAGGATTACCTGCAGATGAAGGAAGGATTAAAGTCCTACTGATATCCCATGTACATAGTACTAAGTATTACCTACCAATCTCCCCTCATAATATACTGTTGCCTTTGGTATCCCTGGGCACGAATACTCGGTATGCGATCTGGGCAATTGTAATAACTGCAAACCTGGGGAGAATCTATATGGATCCCAAATATCCTATTGTCAGTCACGGCAGTTTACAATTGTTTCTAATATCCAATTAAACGTTAAAAGTGTCCCACCATATATGATCTGGTGAGCACAAGTCTAAACCTCTAAATGCCACTTAAGGAAGCACAAGTCAATGACGAAACATTACCTCAAGATGAGCATCTCTTATTCTTTTTGCTCAGTGTTCAATTGATCTGTTTGTGAAACCTGGCCCATGTTACATGCATGGCATATACGTGTTCAACGGGCGCCCAACTCGAGTGCAACCCGTTGAGCACCCGTAGCACATGCGTTTTACACGCGTTATTGACACGTGTGAGGGAATGAATGTCCAGGTGCACCCGAAAAGGCACATCCACAACACATTCACAGACGGTTGGTAGACCCCTTTCCCCCACGTGAGGACCGCCTCCGTGGTGTAGTGGTTAGAGCGTCCGCCCGGAGAGTGGAAGGTCGCGGGTTCGATTCCCGACCGCGTCATACCAAAAGACGTTAAAATATGGTACTTGTTGGTCTCTGCCTGGCGCTCGGCATTAATGGGTACAACAAGGACTGGTCGGCTCAGAGTCAGTATAATGTGTCTGAGTGGGGTATTCATGCTTCACTGCGGCATGGTATCTCAGTGGGCTAGCACTATAAAACCAGCTTAAGTCTGGACTAGTACAAGCAGCCGCACATACACATACACACGCATGCACGTCGTCATATGAGCGAAATATTCTCCAGCACGACGTAAAACCCAATTTCACCTCACCTCACCTCCCCCACGTGAGATCTCCAGAGAGACACACTGAGAGACGGAAACACTTATTCACACAAACACAGACAAGAAACTGCACCCGCACATGCCTGCACATATCATGGACGAAGCTGTTGCTAATAGACACACGTAAAATACTTACTCATACGCTGTGGACGAAGCCGTCGCTAAAAGCCGCACACACACTATACGCACCATCTTCACACATACACACACATACACGCACCATCTTCACACATACGGTGGTACGCTAAAGACAGTGTACGAAGCCGTCGCAAAGACACACACCATACATGCACCATACACACACATACACAGTGGTCGAAGCCGTCGCTAAAGACACACACGCCATACACGCACCATCTTCACACATACACAGTGGTCGAAGCCGTCGCTAAAAGACACACACACCATACATGCACCATACACACACATACACAGTGGTCGAAGCAGTACGCTAAAGACACACACAACATACATGCACCATACACACACATACACAGTGGTCGAAGCCGTACGCTAAAGACACACACAACATACATGCACCATACACACACATACACAGTGGTCGAAGCCGTACGCTAAAGACACACACAACATACATGCACCATACACACACATACACAGTGGTCGAAGCCGTACGCTAAAGACACACACCATATATGCACCATACGCACACATACACAGTGTCGAAGCCGTACGCTAAAGACCACACACACACATACACAGTGACCGTCGCACACCATACACACATACACAGTGGTCGAAGCCGTACGCTAAAGACACACACACACATGGTCGAAGCCGTCGCTAAAGACACACACACAATACATGCACCATACACACACATACACAGTGGTCGAAGCCGTCGCTAAAGACACACACGCCATACATGCACCATACACACACATACACAGTGGTCGAAGCCGTACGCTAAAGACACACACACCATACATGCACCATCTTCACACATACACAGTGGTCGAAGCCGTTGCTAAAGACACACACACCATATGTGCACCATCTTCACACATACACAGTGGTCGAAGCCGTCGCTAAAGACACACACACCATACATGCACCATTCACACACATACACAGTGGTCGAAGCCGTTGCTAAAGACACACACACCATACGTGCACCATACACACACATACACAGTGGTCGAAGCCGTACGCTAAAGACACACACACCATACATGCACCATCTTCACACATACACAGTGGTCGAAGCCGTCGCTAAAGACACACACACCATACGTGCACCATACACACACATACACAGTGGTCGAAGCCGTCGCTAAAGACACACACACCATACATGCATCATACACACACATATACAGTGGTCGAAGCCGTCGCTAAAGACACACACACCGTACATGCATCATACACACACATACACAATGGACGAACGCACGGTAATACACACACGCACCATACTCACACACACAGTGGACGAACACACGCTAATACACACACGCACCATACTCACACACAAAGTGGACGAACACACGCTAATACACACTAGCACCATACTCACACACACAGTGGACGAACACACGCTAATACACACACACGCACCATACTCACACACACACAATGGACGAACACACGCACCATACTCGCACATACACAATGGACGGAACCGTCGTTACTAGACACACACATATAAAGAATAGGTTTTTGAAAGAATGAGAACCCAGTGTCCATGTACACGGCATTTGAGACACCTACCTGTGGCAGCTAAAACAGCGTACCATGCCATACGGTATATAAATGCTTGACGTGCCGCCGCCATTCTGTCTTCACAATGGGAACACGGCAGCTGTACAACAGGCAGGTCATGAGTCGTACAGGAACTCGTCTTATAACATGTTTTTAAAACCGCTTGTCGAGACACTATCAGGATATGTAAGGTGACTAACCTGGGAAAAAATCTATTATATTTGTATTTTATGAATGCTTCAAACGTTTATAGAAGCAACGATATCTGGCTTTGAAGATACACTTTGTCAGGAGCAATTCCCTGGGAACTGGTTGTTTCTTTTGTTATCGTTTTCTTTTTCCACGACTAGCCGGATGATATCCCAGAATGTTTGATTGGGTTGCGATCTCTGCTGCGCCACCCACAAGCGCAATTGGTAGTATAAGGGCGTATCCGAACACACGCTAATGCACACACGCACCATACTCACACACGCGGCGTCCTCCCATTACGCAGACAACCAGTTCGCAGACACCTTAAAACAACAACACTTACGGTTCAGTGAACAGATTATCTACTACCTGTTACCTACACATTATAATGGAATAGTCCAAAAAAACACAGGAACAAACTGAACTGAAGCTATATTATTTATTTTGAAAGATGGAAGAAAAGACAGTAATTTGATATTGCTGCAATATAAAAACAGTTAATTTTCATAAACAGTTCGGTTTAACCTTCTAGTCTAACGGGAGTCGACATCATCATATTGAAAACATTAGCTTAGCTATTAGAAATTGCGACACTGTTGTATCATATAAACCAAATACAGACAAATGTGAACCTAAATATTATTCATATGGAATAAAGAAGTTATATGTTTTGCACACAATATTAAGATATATGACGAGTGCACTTAATTACGATTTATTTAGAATAAATATTTAAAATACGACGCATCATGTCAATGTGGCCATTACTTCCTTGAATGACCATTGTATCCTACTCAAAGACATAAACTGTTACAATCTTTAGAAAGTATTGTTAAAATTAGAACACTGTTTGGTATTAATCGTATCTTACATGGCAATTTCAGGTGTCTCATTTGCTGCAAATCAGAATGTTTTCAAATATGTACATATCTATATCTCTCCAACAAAACGATTTCACAGCTAACTTCTGTTGTTCATATGCTATTATTGGGATGGGGCTTTTCTATCAATAAACACAATCAGACCTGTCAGTGACAAACCTGTTTTTTATATTCGATAGTAATTGATAGTAAAATAAATTTTGAGAAGAGAAATCATTTATAATTTACTCACAACAAAGTTCTATTTATTCACAATCAAACTTGTCAGTAACGAACTTGTTTCAGGCTCACCCTGCTCTACTCACTAGACAGTGGACTGTTCCATTATACCCGTAGGTGTTACCCTAATTAACCTTCTAGTTCAGTGTCTGTCAGTTGGGTGTCTGTCACATGGGTGTCTGTCATTTGTGAGATAACCCCCACACACAGTGGACAAACACACAAAAATATACACACGCATTATACTCACACACAGTGGACAAACACACGTTTATACACACACGTACCATACACTCACACATACACAATGGACGAACACACAAAAATGCACACACGCACTATACCCACACACAGTTGACAAACACACGTTTATACACACACGCACCATACTCACACACATACACAATGGACGAACACACGCACATACTCACACACGTACATAATGGACGAACACACGCACCATACTCACACACACAGTGGACGAACACACGTTTATACACACAGGCATCATACTCACACACACACAATGGACGAACACACGCACATACTCACACACATACATCATGGACGAACACACGCTAATGCACACACGCACCATTCGCACACACAGTGGACGAACACACGTTTATACACACACGCACCATACTCACACACACGCAATGGACGAACATACGCACATACTCACACACATACAACATGGACGAACACACGCTAATGCACACACGCACCATACTCACACACACAGTGGACGAACACACGTTTATACACACACGTACCATACTCACACACATACACAATGGACGAACACACGCACATTCTCACACACATACACAATGGACGAACACGCGCTAATGCACACATGCACCATTCTCAAACACACAGCGGACGAACACACGCTAATACACACACGCACCATACTCACACACACAATGGACGAACACACGCAAATACACACACGCACATACTTACTCACTCACATACACAATGGACGAACACGCGGTAATACACATACGCAACATACTCACACAGACACAGTGGACGAACACACGCAAATACACACACGCACCATACTCTCACACACACACAATGGACGAACACACGCGATATCTGGCTTTGAAGATACACTTTGTCAGGAGCAATTCCCTGGGAACTGGTTGTTCCTTTTGTGATTGTGTTTTTTTCACGACTAGCCGGATGATATCCCAGAATGTTTGATTGGGTTGCGATCTCTGCTGCGCCACCCACAAGCGCAATTGGTAGTATAAGGGCGTATCCTTTCCCATTAACAGTTCCATCTTGATTATTATGATAATAAGTCAAAACATTTTGAAGTATAACTTCATCTAACAATGGTTAAAAATGTCAGGATTGAAAGAAAACGAAGTCAATGTACATCTATATATTTTTGCCTTATGATCCTAGAAAAGTTAATTCATTGTTGTTTTTATGCAGTTTTGAGCTTCATTAAAAGTACGCGATCTGTTGTAGTGAATTTATTTAAATGGGCAGGACGTCGACCTTTTTTCCTCACCTGAACAGTGAGATATCACCCAGGGGTCGACGTCCTGTGCAGCCCCGTTTCCACGTACATGTATTACATAGCATGTAATACAATTGCCACATCAGTTTATAAGCTTGAGTATTTACCCCCAGACAAGAGAAATGCTCATAGCGAACCCTTGTCAGTAAATCCAAGTGGTGTTGCCACTAATTAGGCCGATTATAAATACATTAACATGACATTATTACATGATATGATTAAATATCATGGTACAAAACACAAAAATGGGATCCAAATGAAATCAGTCATCATACCATCCACACGTCAGAAATCTGACGGTAGGTAAGGAGACCAAGGTGACAATGTTAGACTGCCGTACTGAATCCGTAGACCACTGCCTCTTTAATGGCCTAACATCTCAGCTGAGAGGAAAGTAGCTAGGATATGTTTTCTTGGGTGTATTGTTTGTTATGTGTGTCTTTGTGGTTATAACCCTTACATAGTACACTATATGTAGGTGCATATGATCATAGAAGGAAGTGGTGCTTTGTTGTAAGCGAGGCAAAATTACTAGAATTGGCACAACAGATAAGGGACATAACTCTTCCCAGACTAAATGGTTCCTTCATCGCAGTCTCGTCGTTAACACACAGTTCGGCAAATGTTTTCTATGCACCTCGTCAAAGGGTCACAGAGTTAAGCGGTTACTCTGAACATGAGAAACCCTGCACATTCATCACATTTTGATATGAAGATGAATTTGATGTACGAATTCAAGCGTGATATACAGAATGCCTTCATGTCCGCAATGCTTTTTAGATTTCGTCGCGTTTTTAAAAACAATTGTAAATAAACAAAAAAGTCATGATTATTCTCTAACTTGATATAAAAGGAAGCAAGCATATTAACGTTTGTGTCATTTTCTCAAACATGTGCACTAGAAGCATGAAATTCCAGACTCCGTTAATCCGGAAACGACACTTTCATGATAAATGCTCGTAACATGAAAGTAAAAAATGGCATTACTGCATATATGCCCATGCATTTTCTCAATCCGATTGACAAATCACGTGCCAGAGACGCAGAGATAGATATACATGATAAACTATGGTACTTGTTATTACGCTGCCTGGTGCCCACTCTTAAAGGCATAAAACAAGGAGGATACATGTCAAACCGCGGTATCATATTTCAGTTAGATACCATTATACCTTGACATGCATGCGCGCACGCACACACGCACGCACCTTTAACCCCTTTTCATCTCACTTCACTTAAAGATGTCCGTGGGAAGGGCATGGTCCAGATTAACGAGGGTCTCGTTGCATTTTGTGTAAAACACATTTTAAAGAAAATTCATAGATCTACAATCACATTCAGAGTTCGTATGTAGCTCACGACTGACTGACTGAGTTTGGTTTTACGCCGCTTTTAGCAATATTCCAGCAATATCACGGCGGGGGACACCAGAAATGGGCTTCAAACAGTTTACCCATGTGGGGAACCCGGGTCTTCGGCGTGACGAGCCAACGCTTTAACCACTAGGCTACCCCACCGCCCCTTGTAGCTCAGGAATGGTACATACTCGCAAACATTGTGAGAAATTGCACACTTACATGTATTCTAAATGTCATGTACATAACCAGCATACTTGATTTACCAAAGTCCGCAGTTGGCAAGTCCACACAACAGCAGCTGGAGAACATCCACATGTTAGGGCTGGTAAAATGAGGCATCCCTCACAGAAGTAAATAACGCTTAGACCGTACATCTGAATATTGCCCGACTAAAGAAGCGGATGTAAAAGATTGAAACTTGTCCCAGTCTTGGCCGATCTGATTCACGCCGTTCGAGTTGAAAACGTTTGACTGACTGACTGAGTTTGGTTTTACGCCGCTTTTAGCAATATTCCAGCAACATCACGGCGGGGGACACCAGAAATGGAAAACGTTTGAATCCGACAGAGTAGATATGGTAAAACAGGAAGCTTTATGTTGTGCTTGGGTAAACCAGTTGAAAAGCCGACCACGGTATATACAACTTATTGATAGTTTATGTGCACCTACTTGGATTCCAGAAGAAATAGGCCCCAAATACTTGTATCCATTTCAATAGCTTGTGGTTTGTACATGTGAAATTCCTGTCGGGTTTAGTAAGCCTTTAGGTGGTGTAACTAATAAACCACATGTATACAAAACCAGTTATGTATTCATACAAAATATCTGCGAAAATGTTGATTGCACCTTTCCTACTATAACTTGCGTATGTGTCTTTGAACAATTATCAAATAGTGAGTGAGTGAGTTTGGTTTTACGCCACGTTTTTAGCAATATCAGCAATATCAAGGCGGGTGACACCGGAAATG